AAGTGAAGCTGATGCCAAGGAAAGACGGATGCGCCAGAACCACTGTGAACCACTGGCGAATGAAGGGAAGATACCAGAGATAATAAACGGATAGGATAGGATGGGGGTGAAGGGGGGAAAAAGGGGGGAGGTGGGGGAAAAGATGAACCACGAACGAGTGAAGCTGCTGCCAAGGAGCAGAACTGACCAGTAGTAGTAGGTGGTGGTGGTGGTGGTGGGGATTACATGCAAAAAACAAAGGAGTCAAAAGGGGTGGGAACAAAGGTAGAGCAGGTGATAAAGAAGAGATGGTCAAGAGGGGGGAAGCTTGCTTGTCGGAAACCTCACCACTTGCCCTCCCACACCCCACAAACACCACACACCCCAGCCCATTAACCACACATACACGCACATGTGAAGAAAACCCCGACCGACCGACCGACCGACATGCATACGTACACTTATACACACACACACACGCCCCCTCACCCTTCATGCCGTACTCCTTGAGCCAGGCCTTAGCCCCCGCCACCGCCAGCGCCCCCGCAGGCTCCAAAATGGATCTGGTTTCGTTGAAGACGTCCTTGATGGCGGCGGAGACTGCGGCATTGGACACCAGTACGACACCGTCCACCAGTCCACGACACAGGCGGAAGGTCTCCTGACCAACCTGATGGGGGCGGGGTGGGGGTGGGGAAGGAGGAGGGGAAAGACGAATCACGAGCAAGTGAAGCTGCTGCCAAGGAAAGACTGATGCGCCAGAAGTGAAGAAGGCATAACTGACCAGTCGGCGGCCCCAGGAGGAGGGGGCGGGGGAATACGAAGACCACAGACGAGTGATGGTGATGTTAGGGGGTGTAGGGGTTGGTGGGAAAGGGGGTTACAACCGTTACAGTGGGTGAGGTGGAATCAATGCGACATGTGCAAGGAATCGATGGGCGGTTGGGTCTAAGGTTAGTTAGTTTGTTGGTTGTGGTTGGTTGTGTGTGAGTGAAAGGGGGGCCCCGCGTGTCAGAGACAAGGTGCATCATTTTTCAACACACACATAGAGATACACAGATACAGATACACACGCGCGACACACGGCACGTAATCCCCGGGGCCCTCCCCCATTTCCCCCTCCATTACTACTCCTCAGCTCTCAGAGGGCATTCGCATTTGCGTCTGGATAACGATCCCTCTTCCTTTTCCTTCCCCACTCCCCACTCTCCTCTCTCCCCCCACCTGTTTCACCGCCACTCCATCCGCGAACGCATCCACCCTGGACAGCACCACCCGCTCCCCCCGGGCCAGGCTCGCAGCCATGGCGTTGGCCCCTTCGGGTTCCACACCGATAATCTGGAAGGGAAGGCGAGAAGGGGAGCAGGAGAAGGGAAAGGGGGGTTAAGACGTAAGACTATGAACCACTGGCGAATGAAGGGGAGATACCAGAGGTAATAAACGGATATATGGTGTCCAGGAGAAGCTATTCAAATGCTGCTGCATCAGGAATATATATTTGTAAGCTACAGACCAATAAGCTAATGACTTGGAAAGTAGTCATATGGGGGCGACGCGGGACCAGCTGGGTTGCGGAGCGAAACACTAGCTGGCAAGTTCATATAGTCCAAAGAAGACAGAAGGCAAAAAACGCAGCAGGAAAACTACCTAACCGCCGGGATGGAAGGAAAATCTTATCATCAAATTAGAAAAAGGACGGAAATCAAAGTGGTGGTGGTGGTGTTGGTGCCGTGTAGAACTTACGGCGGCAAAGAAGAAGAAAGGGTATTATCGGAATGTGCAATGTGATGATGTATTCAAGAAGTCTACGTGGAGGCGACGTGGAGGCGAAAGAGGAAAAAAAATAGACTTTTGCAGCTGCTGCTGCTGCGACTGCTTGCTTGCTGACATGCATGCATATTGTGTTCCTCCCAGCCAGCCCCCCCCAGCCCCCCCCAGCACACACACACACCTCTGGCCCGACCATCCCAACCAATCCAAACGTTCGATAGCCCACCAACAAAATAGCGCGAAAATTGGGGGAAGGACGATTGGGTATGATGCAGAAAGCAAAACGAATCAGCTGCTGCCGAGGGATGCAGGGGTTAAGGAGGAGGTTCCAACCCCCTCTTTTACCCCGTTCCGTTCCCGCCCCTCTCTTTGCCAAACCCAAACGCCCCCAACCCGCACTTCTTCCCCCTTCCCCCTCTTCCCCCCCTTCAGTCGCCACGGACGCTTTTCGGTCAGTTTTTTTCGTTTGCTACTATCTTGCCCTGGCAGCAGCTTCAATCGCGTGTGGTTCGTCTTTCCCCCCTTCTCTCTCTTCCCCCTGCTGCCCTCCCCGCCCTCCCTTCACCTTAATTCCTGGTTTCAGAGCCTTCGTGAATGCGGCAATACCCGCAATAAGGCCCCCTCCGCCCACTGGCACGAAGATGGCGTCCAGCTTGTCCGGGTCGGGTGCCTGCGAGGGAGGGGAGACGCGCGCGTGTGCGTGTCTGTGCCTGTGTCTGTGTGTGTGTTTTTGTGTCTGTGTATTTGTGTGCCTGTGTGTGTTTGTGTACGTGTGTCTCACAGTGTGTCTGTCTGTGTGTCTGTGTGTGAGAGGACAATTTATGTTGGTGAGAGTTAGGGTGAAAAGTACCCAAAGTTCTCTGTCTATTTCCATAAGGCCCTCCCCCCTTTCCCTTCCCTTCCTAAAGCGCCTTCCAGACGCCCCGTAAGAGAAAACCCCTCCACTGCAACTTTTATCCACTGCAACTGGGTTCCCCCCACAACCTCTATTCCCCCGCCAATTTCTCCACCTGCCGCATGATCTCATCTCCAATGGTGCCCTGTCCGGCAATCGTGTACGGATCGTCGTACGGCGGAATGAAGGTGAGTCCCTCAGCCGCCGCCCGCGCCACCGCCGCCGCCTGCGCCTCCTGGTAACTCTCCCCCACCAGCACCACCTGACCGCCCAGCTTGCGGACATTGGCCACCTTGATCTCCGGTGTGTTGACCGGCATGCAGATGACGGAGGTGCAGCCCTAAGGGAGGTGGGGGAAATGTGGTTGGGGAGGTGTTGGGTGTGTGTGTGTGTGGTGATGGGGTGGGATGTTGGGGGTGGGGGAGGGGAAAACACAGGTATACCAAGGGGGGGAAGAGGAACCCATTCCTTAAAAATCTATCCATACGTATATACATACATACATACACACGCAAATCCCAGCGCCAGACCTCCCCCTCCTAAACCCACTAAGTCGCCGTACGCGCCGTACAACACATTTACCATTTTCGACGCCGCCAGTGCCACCCCTTGTGCGTGGTTTCCCGCCGAGCTGGTGATGACCCCCCGGGCCCGGGCCTCCGGAGGCAACTTGGCCATCTTGTTGTAGGCGCCTGTATGTACGTATGTTTGTACGTGCGTTTGAATGTTTGTACGTGGTGTATGTATGTATGTATGTATGTATGTATGTATGTATGTATGTATGTGTGTGCGCGTTGGGGGAGAAAGGCATATACCAGGAAACAACGAATGGACTGCGGCGTCGCGTCCTGTTTGGGGGGGGGAGACAAACCACGAGCATGTGAAGCTGCTGCCAAGGGACGAGTGCTGGGGGGAGGATCGAGTATATGTATGTATGTGTGTGTGTGAGAAAGCCGGTGGTATCTTTTCCTGTCATCTCCTGGGCCAGCCCCGGGGCCCATCCGCACTCCGAAGCCCCATCCGCACCCCCGCTGAAAATCCCCCCCTACCCCTCTCCACCCTACATCCTTCCACCTCACCACCTTTCACCACTCCCAAACCCTAACTTCTATCAAACAACGAGCAACCCATCTCTCCATCAAACAACGAGCAAACCATCTCGACCCCCAACCCTCCCCAAACTCTTTTCTTACGGAAATTTTCCGTCCGCCCCGCCCCGCTCCAACCCCCCTGCCCCAATCCACCTACCCCTCAATTTAAACGAGAACACGGGCTGCAGGTCCTCTCTCTTGAGTAGAACGGTGTTGCCAACCGCCTCACTCAGCTTTTGCGCCTTCTCCAGGGGGGACTGGATCTGAGTTGAAGGTGCGTGGGTGGGTTGGAGATCATATGACAAAAAACAAGAAATGAACTCTGTTTTTTGTGTATGTGGGGGGAAGAAGATGAGGAAAGGAAGGAGGGGAAAACTTATATGATAAGAAAAAACCATTTCCCTGTCCGCCCCTCTCGTATTTCCATACCAATGTATCAAATTCGTACCGCGACATCGTACACTCGTGCCGTCAGGATCTCCCGAAGGTAGCCGTCCGGCCCGAAGCGCCACTTGTTGGCGGCACAGCCTTCCGGGCCCTGTGTGTACGGCACGCGCGTGTGCAGGGGAAGTGAAATACTCAAAAGCGTGTGTTTTTAATTCACCGTTGGTATTTTAATCACGGCTGCCATCGCAAGGTTACTGACGCATATTGCGATGATGTCATCAAGTGATGCGGGATGTGATATTAACGATGTACGGAAGTTGGTTATTACGGTTGACAGACTGAAAGGCCGGATTCGTACGAAGCGGCAAGTTCTGTCAGCCATTATCATATCCGCGGAATTGTCTTTCGCTGCTGCAATGTTGTCCGTGGATTATCGGCTGGAGAGGTTTACGACATAGTTCCCATGTGGGTCACATCCGTCGCTAGGTTGCTGATGCGACCCAGGCAAAACAGTTGACATTCCTTGCCGTCAGGGCAAACGACCCGACGGGGGCCGAGCGCCTGCGCGTTTGTATATTCGTACGTACGTATATATGTGTTTTTATTGTATGTATGTGTGTTACATGGTTTGGGGGTGCGTGACCCCATACCTGTAAAACTACCCATACGAGCCGAAGGCCCAAGGGCATGTAGGTATGTGCGTTTAAGGCTCACACCTAAGGCAAGGCACGAGAGGCTGGTTCGGAAGCAAACAGCAGGGGGGACAGCAACCCAGTAAACACCCCATCCCCTTGCATGCATGTGAGATATTGAGCGAGTGGCCCTAACCGACTTAACGATCCTATGTGCTAGGGGTCTACTGGCTTCTATGGGTATCGGTGGGCGCAGCGGGAGTGAGGTGGTGCGTTTCAGCAGAGCCGCTCTGTCGTGCTGTGAGGCAAAAACGAATGTCCGAATCCAAGGTCTGGCGCGGGAAGCTGTGCGGAAAGGCAACGGTAAAAAGTTTTTTCGGAGCCCAGCAGCTATAATTCGACGTTGGTGAAAGAGGATTCCGTGAAGGATGCTGTATGTTATTGGGATAGTAGCAGGGCCGGCTACAGCAGCGCGCCTTTGCCGGACAGTGTTGGATCACTAGTTGTGCTCGGGGCAGCGTAGCATCTAGCATCCCTGCGCTGCAGCGTTTATGTTATAAGGAGAGGCGTGGAACGTGCGAAAGGTCTTGGGGGTTCGCTTGGCGTTGGGGGAAAAGGAGGCAGTTGCAAGGAGTTTGGTCTGGCACCGACATCTTGACATGGGCGTGGATTTGTACCTGGCAAGCGGGCTGTGTGCAGCCGAAGCAGCGGAACACGTCGTCCGGCAAGTTGAGGCCCACCCGGTTGACTGGGCTAAGCTCGCCTGGTGAGAGCTTGAAGTCCTCCGGGGCGCAGACTGTATTCTTTGATGGTGTCGGCACGACGCTGGGCTGTGTGCCGTTACTGCCGGCAGGCGGTGCAGAAACTTGCGGTCTTTCTCCGGCAATGGTCCTGCAAATCACGCCAGCTGCTCGGGGCTGTGGGGTTGACAGCCCGTGGAACGTGCGGCGGTGCGCATTTGGGGGGTGTGACCGCGAGGTAGGAAAGCTGCCTTGAGACGTAGAAGGGAGGACCAACCTATCCATTCCTGACAAGTAATTTTTAATACAGGCGTGGCAAATGAGTACCGCTCATATCGATTACGCGCGAGCAGGCATAAGCCGAGATAGCCCTCAGGGATCACGGACCGAAACTATTAAAGCAACTCACGACGAACATGTTACTTGTCCTGTGGAAAGAAATTTGTGCCGGCGGGATGCCGTACAAGTTGGGCAATAAAGGCAAATCCTGCTTTGCAATTCCTCCGCAACACAGCTCAGCACGTACATTGTCGTCTCATATCTCACAGTGCGTTAGTCCTTCACACCGCGTAAGTTGTATGAGCAGTACCAGTTAAGGTTGCTTCAAGCGCCCTGGGTGCCCGAACTGCAATGGTTGAGTCGCAACGAACCTGCTAACCAGTCCTGGTGGAGATACTAGTGTCGTCTAAAGCATAGTTGCAGTTCAGCGGGGGCTTTGGGAGCTTCGGGCCCGGTCCCGCCCTAGATTGCTTTGAATCAAATGCTTCCGCCGGCCGGGCGGTATTTGACACTACATATTAGGCCTTTGTAAGGAGTTCTCACGGCTGCAAAATGGCAACTCGCGAGCGAAGAGTTTCGCGGCCGCCCTTGCGTTTTGTCCAGGATGGTGAGGTCAAGTCTTTCTGTGAAGGTCCAGCAGCTCTCAGCCGGCCTTGTATCCTGAACACAGCTACAATACCTTGTCAAAATGCAGAGTACTGGGAGCAGGGCCGGCGCAGGGACAACAGGCCGGTCCGGCAGGTCTACAAATTGCTGAAACAGAAGGACATTCGCAAGGACCTTGCAGGCCAGGAGGTTTGTGTCAGCCCTCAATGCGTGAAAGGGTTTTGTTCAGCTGCTCCTGACGAGGCCATGACCGTGTACTTCTCATAGGTTCACGTCTACTGGCCCGAGGACCAGCAATGGTATCGTGCAAATGTGGAAGAGGTAAAACCCTTTGCAAATGCAAAAGTCCTGATGGCCGCTGAAGTGTCATGCAAGTGTACCTTGGCCCCAACACGCGTGAAGGTGACGATACAGCAGTCGGAGCAGCCATCCGCATACCTTCATTACCCAGACACGGATGAATATGAGGACGTGAATTTAAACGAGCTGGTTGAGTCCAAGCAAATTGCTGTCAGTAAGTCTTAAGGGCAAGGGCCTACAGTATTCTTTTTCAAGGTGATGCTTCCGATGATCCACATTTTGCCGTGGTTAACGCAGTTGAAAACAAGTCGTTTTACGCCAAGTTAAAGCGGGATGAGATTCCAGTCAATGCGGCTGATCGGTTGACCGCCGTGTATGAAGACGACGATGGCTGTTCTGGCGACACTGCCGCTTATGATGACGTTGGCAGTGACGAGAGTGAAGGTGATGGTGAGCCACGGATATCCCGCGAGCATCACAAGCAGGTGCGCGTTGTGTTCGCTTTAACACATGTCAAGCCCATGTCCTTCGCCTTGTTTCAATCTAGCCTCACATGCCCTTGACTACTCCAGGTTCAGAGATCGAAAAGACCAAGAGAAGCTGGTTTGGAGCGATCGGGTAAGTCATTTGCTCTGGAACTGTTTTGCCTTGTCCTACGATGCTTACGTGCAGATCGCCGACCAAGCCGAGCAACTATCGACGCAACGTTCCTCAGACGGGGTGCATAGCTAATTGCACAATAGCGCAACGGATGCCGAGGAGGGGACGGACTGCGTGCCGTTGTGATGGTTGGCCATGTCCAACGCTGACGGTTGATTAATGAAGTTGCTGGCTTCGTCTGTCCCATTTGTTGTAATCAATAACGATGTAGATGAAATTTGGTTGTCAGAACACATCTTCCGGTCAAAACGGTCTGAGCTCGTGGCTTTCCGGCGGTTCGTTTCTGCTCTCCATATGTAACCTTGCATCGCTCGCTGCACGCACAGCCCGAAGCAAGGTTGCCAGGATTTCGATGAGCTACAGCAACTGCGCAATCTTACAGTGCGCGCATCGCTGCCCTCCAGCAGAAATGAAACAGCAGTGCTGCGGAAACGAGCGCATTAGAGGGCTGCACTGGATCGGCCCCAGTACCTTGGGTTTGTTCCCAACAGCCATTGTCCCGGTGCTCAGCTGCGTGTATATCGGCCACATGAAGACATGGCCCGCAGTCGTGGGCCCTGGCGCATTCGTTTCTTGCCCGAGGGGTTGCAAACTTCCAACGGATACCGCTCCATGAACTCTGCAGGGAATGCCAAACGGACAGCAAGCGGTAACTCGAGTGGAGACGAAGGTTGGTGGGGTGTTGCTGTTGCCGAGCCCATATACCTAGAACTCCCAAGCCAAGACACGCCCACCCTGGAGTCTTCTCCGCCTAGGCAGACAGGCAGGCACCACTCCTCCACCCTTCAGCGTCTCCTTGCGCTTCACTCAGAACATTCCGCACACCACCAGACACACCGCACGCCTTCAGTCACCCTCACCTCTTCCGCCCACTACCTCGCAAGTTGTAGCGATGACCATCTTCCGCCCCACACGTGATGCACACAACAGCATCCCACAATCATGTCCCAATAACCTCAAAACACCAACATCCACCCCCCGCCCACTCCCCTTTTCCCCGCGCCTTTTCCCCATGCAGGCGCGCCCGGACCGCACCCCCATCTGCGCCAGCCCCACGGCAACGGCACTGCCGTACAGGGAACACCCGGCGGCGCCGCCGGCGACGCGCTGGCGGCTGACAATGACATGGCGGAGGCGGAGGCCTTCAAGAACAGCCTCATGAACGCGCTGATGCACACCTTTGGCGGTGGCCCTCCCTCAACCATGATCCCTACCCCCGGCGGGATCATGATCCCCACCCCAGGGCCAGCGGGCGGGGCCGTGGCTGCCGCCGCCGCCGCTGGCACCGTGGGCGTCGCTGGCGGGCACGCGCCCATGATCATGATCCCCACCCCCGGCGGGGCTGCCGGCGGCGCCGCCGGCAGCGGCGGCAATATGCCCGGGGAGGCACCTGGGTCCGCCCGCGGCAGCGGCAGCGGGGGCCATCTTCGAGGGGAGCGCCACGGCGGTGGACTGCGGACTCAGGCCAGCTTGGTGAGTGGCGCCTGGACCGGTCATGAAGCTGGGGGTTGGGACCGGGGGGTGAGGATGCAACGGTTCATGCCAGCGGGTCAGATCATGAACACACACATACATACATACATACATGCCCGCATACTTTGGTCCGTCAGTGGTTCGTCTGACGACTCCTCCTCCTTTCTGCATCCCCACCTCCTCCGCACCCCTCCTCCGCAGCCCTCCGCGGGCAGTGTAGGTAATGATGACGAGGTGCGGTCCAAGGTACGAGAGCAGCTGGCGTCGGCGCTGCAGCGGGCGCTGGACGAACTCAAGGTGAGGGGGCAGAGGAGAGAGTGGAGGGGAGGGGGTGGAGGAGGGGGGGCGGAGGGGGGGGGAACGATCACATGCGAGAAGGCGGGAAGAGAACCGCCGGTGTTCGGGGGGAGGGGGGGGTAGATGTGAGTGCATATGAGTGGGTGTGGAGCAGCTCGGTACGTAGAAGTGGGCGCGTGCGGGCGCGTGGTTGTTGTTGGATGTGGTGGATGTGGTGGTGGTGCGACCTGGGTAGGTGTAGGTATGTGGGTGGTCTGGACGCGGCGGGGGATCTGTGTGTGGGCGAGTCATGGTGGTGGGAGTTTTCAAACGTTGTGGGTGGTTGTGGGTGGTTGGTAGCGGGCAGGTTTGTTATCGGTGCACGTATGCGCGCGTGTGTGTGTGTGTATGTAACTGAGCCCCTCTTCGTCCATCTTCCCCCCCGTCCCTCCTGGACTATCCATCCATCTATCTTTGGTATCTACTCCATTCGCCAGTGGTTCGTCTCCTAACCCCCTCCCCTTCATCTTCATCGCTTAGCGGACTCACTCCCTAGGGGGGGCAGTTCCTTCGGACTTTGGACGCCTTCCTGCAGTCAGTCAGGCAGTAGCTCATTTCTGAATCTTTTCTTTTCTCACATCCTGTGATTCCTCCTCCCATCATTTCCCCTCCACATACACATACACATACACACACACCTACCCAAACACACATGTACACACCTTTCTTAAGGAATTCCTCGCCCGTGGTCTCCCCGCCCCCCCCCTTCCTCTCCTTTCCCTCCCCCTCCCCTCTAAAGGCTGAGGGCTACACGGAGGCGCTCCCCGACCCGGCGGCTGTGGCGGCGGACGTGGAAACCGAGCTGTACAAGCTGCACGGTGCGAGAGCGGGCCGGACCGGGTCCCGTGTGACAGAGAGAAGAATATTGCTATTCCTACACTTCCATAACTGCGCCTTGGGTGGGAAATTTGGGGGGGGGAATTCGGGTCGGTCTTTTTTCACACCACCTATAGAGGGTAAAGTGAGGCTTTGTCCCGCTTTGTCGTACTTGCTCCCATATGTGTGCACCATAGATTCGTACCATCCATACCGTACGCTTTTTATCCTTTTATCCCCCTTTTATTCTCCCACCGCTCCTGCCACCTCACCCCACCTCACATCCCACCCACAACTCCACCCCAAACCTCACCACGTCACCGCTCCCCACCGTTCCCACAGACAACTCGGTGTCGAAGGACTACAAGGCCAAGTTCCGGTCCCTGTCCTTCAACCTCCGCGACAACGGCAACCCCGAGCTGCGGGCCCGCGTGTTGCGGGGCGAGCTGCCTCCCCCCCGGCTGGTGACGCTGGGTCCCGCAGAGCTGGCCAGGAAGGAGCTGAGCGAGTGGCGGCAGAAGAGGCAGGAGGAGGCGGCCAAGATGGTGTTTCTGGATGCAGGTGGGGTAGGGTACGACGCGGGGTGGGGGTGGGGATGAGATGAGGAGGAGGGGGATGGGGGGAGGAGTACGGGGGTAAGGAGGGGCAAGGGAAGGTGGGGGTTTTGGTGTGTGTGTTTTTTGTGGGAGGGGGGATTCTGGCACGCAGTCAATCCCGCGTTCAGTCCGTTGACGTCCACGAGGGCATTGAGTGTCATTTTGGCTGAAGGATTGAGGTGTGTGTGTGTGCCGCTGCCTGTGTTTTTGTAACCCTGTTCCTTTACTCCATTTCCCCCCCCCCCACAAAGA